CATTCGCTGTTCTCATGAGATTTATTCTAGACTTATGCATACCAGCAACTTGAAACTATTGTCAGAGCTGTATTCAGAATGTCAATGTGCTCTGAGCAGACCTCACAATTGGTGTGTGTGAATGTTTGTGGGGGTGCACGGAGTACATGGGTGTGTATAATTAATTGTGTGTGTGCAGGCAGGAGCCAGAGCAGGGCACTGAGTATTTTCCTCTGTTGCTGTCTGTCTTACTCCCTTGAGACAGCGTCTCCCACTGAACTGGAAACTGGCCACTTGGCCAAGACGGCTGTCCAGTTAGCTCCTGGGATCTGCCTGTCTATGCTCCACTTCCCAATGCTGAGATTACAGACACATGCAGCCACGCCTGGCTTTTATGTAAATACTGGGAATTCAAACTCAGGTCCTCACGGCTACAGAGAAAATACTCTTACCCACTGAGCCTTCTCCCTAACCTCTGAACTCACAATTTTATGCCACAGTCTTAGTCCTATGGGTTATAGGCTCTATGAGAAATTTAGTCCAAGCTAAATTAGCTTAAGCTTTGGAGCATGACTCATTTAGTTAAATAATGAAATATAAGCCATGTAAGGATTTTTGTATGCTCAGTAATTTCAGTTAAGTAATGAAGTAGAACCACAGACAAGAAGACAGAACCAACATTCAGAATGAGATCACTAAACTGTATGTCTCACCTACCAACTGTCATTACAGGGATGCCCTGTCTATGCACAGATTTCAAGTGCCCTCACTATATTCTCTACAGTCCTAGAAATAACTTCCTTGGTAGGAAGTTATTATCCTGATCAAAGACTTTCCTCCATGCAATTTTCATCTTAATGCCAATTTTTTAAAATGTATTTTAAATTATATGTACATTTTGTGTGTGGTGTGTGTGTGTGTGTGTGTGGTGTGTGTGTGTGTGGGGGGGGGGGGGGGGGGGGGGGGGGGGGGGGGGGGGGGGGGGGGGGGGGGGGGGGGGGGGGGGGGGGGGGGGGGGGGGGGGGGGGGGGGGGGGGGGGGGGGGGGGGGGGGGGGGGGGGGGGGGGGGGGGGGGGGGGGGGGGGGGGGGGGGGGGGGGGGGGGGGGGGGGGGGGGGGGGGGGGGGGGGGGGGGGGGGGGGGGGGGGGGGGGGGGGGGGGGGGGGGGGGGGGGGGGGGGGGGGGGGGGGGGGGGGGGGGGGGGGGGTGGGTGGGGGGGTGTGTGTGTGTGGTGTGTGTGTGTGTGTGTGGTATGTGTGTGTGTGGTGTGTGTAGTGTGTGTATGTGTGTGGTGTGTGTGGTGTGTGTGTGTGTGTGGTGTGTGTGTGGTGTGTGTGGTGTGTGTGTGGTGTGTGTGGTGTGTGTGTGGTGTGTGTGGTGTGTGTGTGGTGTGTGTGGTGTGTGTGTGGTGTGTGTGGTGTGTGTGTGGTGTGTGTGGTGTGTGTGTGGTGTGTGTGGTGTGTGTGTGGTGTGTGTGGTGTGTGTGTGGTGTGTGTGGTGTGTGTGTGGTGTGTGTGGTGTGTGTGTGGTGTGTGTGGTGTGTGTGTGGTGTGTGTGGTGTGTGTGTGGTGTGTGTGGTGTGTGTGTGGTGTGTGTGGTGTGTGTGTGGTGTGTGTGGTGTGTGTGTGGTGTGTGTGGTGTGTGTGTGGTGTGTGTGGTGTGTGTGTGGTGTGTGTGGTGTGTGTGTGGTGTGTGTGGTGTGTGTGTGGTGTGTGTGGTGTGTGTGTGGTGTGTGTGGTGTGTGTGTGGTGTGTGTGGTGTGTGTGTGGTGTGTGTGGTGTGTGTGTGGTGTGTGTGGTGTGTGTGTGGTGTGTGTGGTGTGTGTGTGGTGTGTGTGGTGTGTGTGTGGTGTGTGTGGTGTGTGTGTGGTGTGTGTGGTGTGTGTGTGGTGTGTGTGGTGTGTGTGTGGTGTGTGTGGTGTGTGTGTGGTGTGTGTGGTGTGTGTGTGGTGTGTGTGGTGTGTGTGTGGTGTGTGTGGTGTGTGTGTGGTGTGTGTGTGTGGTGTGTGTGGTGTGTGTGGTGTGTGTGTGTGTGTGGTGTGTGTGTGTGTGTGTGGTTGTGTGGTGTGTGTGTGTGTGGTGTATGTGTGGTGTGTGGTGTGTGGTGTGTGTGGTGTGTGTGTGTGTGTGGTGTGTGTGTGGTGTGTGTGTGTGTGTGTGGTGTGTGTGTGTGGTTGTGTGGTGTGTGTGTGTGTGTGGTGTATGTGTGGTGTGTGGTGTGTGTGGTGTGTGTGTGTGTGGTGTGTGTGTGTGTGTGTGTGTGTGTGTGTGTGTGTGTACGGATGTGAGTACAGAGGCCTGTGGAAACCAGAAAAGGGTATTGGATCTCCTGGAGATGGAATTACAGGTGGTTGTGAACCATCTGACATGGGTGCTGGGAACCGAACTCAGGTCCTCTGCAAGAGCAGTATGTCCTCTTAACCACTGAGCAATCTACAAAGATTTAAGTCATCAACCAAAGAAAATGATGGTGTTGATGGATTCCTGTTAACGGGTACTTTTTGTGTATTACATATTTTTTTGCTGAATTCTTTGGTTTTCTTCTCTATTAGTGCAATAGGGTGGGAGTATGTTGAAAAGGTCTAGGGCCCAACGCTGGACTTCCTCAGTACAGAAACAGATCCAGCAGTAAGCCATCTTCTAATGTTAAATCTATCTTCCAATAAACTCCAACTCAGTTTAAAAACAGAAAATTTCCAAGAGCAGGATCTGTGTTTAAGTGATGAGGTATTCCCAAATTTCCCACCAATAAGTGGAACTCTGTCCATTAGTTAACCTTGACTTAATCTCACCCTGGAAATTTGACTGGTTGACATACAGTGAATCAGATGGGGCCAGTGATCTCTACTATTACAGGGGATTTCTTCTTACCCTACTGACTGTTCCCTGCCAAAGATGTGGTATTTTTGAAACTCTTTTCTTTCTTTCTTTTTTTAATATTGTATTTATTTATTTTTCACATGCATCAGTATATTGCCTGCATGTATGTAAGGGCACCCGTGTTGTGTAGTGCCCTCATAGGTCAGAAGAAGGCATTGGATACCCTAGCGCTGGAGTTATAGATGGTTGTTAGCCTTCACGTGGGTGCTGGGAATTGAACCCGGGTCCTCTGCAAGAGTAGTTAGTGCTCTTAATCGCTGAGCCATTTCTCCAGCCCCTTAAAACAGTTTTCTAATTGTTGGAAGAAATTACTAAGCAAGAAACTAAACACTGTATTAAAATGAATAATATTTTATTTTGAAAAGAAAGGTCAGGGTGGTGGTCTTGTGTTGTAGCCTCCCTTTAAGGTTTTTTTTTTTTTTTTTTTTTTTTTTTTTTTTTTTTTTTTTTTTAAAAAAAAAAAAAAAAAAAAGCTGGAACTCAATGTAGACCAGCCAATTCGCCTGCCTCTGCCTCCTGAGTGCTGGGATTAAAGGCATGTGCCACTACACTTGGCTCGTATTTGTGTTTTGATGTCTCCTTGATTACAGGGAATTTTAGGATCCATGAGCACAGAAGTTGATTAAAGTGGTGCCTAGTTTGATGCTTTGGCCAATTCAGCTTCCTTTCACTACGTAGCCTATTTCATGAAGAAGCTCTTACCTAGAGAACTGCAGTCAGACAATTTTAGAATGAGTACAAAGAGTCTTCCCTCAAGGGCAGTACAGTAATCATAGCTGTGAGAGAGCGACACTTCTTTCCATTCATATAATTATTTTGTATTCATGATTGATTTTAAAAGACACACAAAGAAAATGCAAACAATAAGATTTAACAGGAAAGCTGAATGACTGAAACCAGTTGCCTACTTGTCTTAGATGGATATTAAAGTTAGGTAGGGAGAGAGGAGACAGGGAACTATGCTGCGGATTCACTTTCAGATGAAGGTAGACTATTTTCTACTGACTGTACTGGCTCTTTGGAAGGACATATAACACCTCACTACACACACACACACACACACACACACACGCACACACAAGTGTTGAGGAGTGTGGGAGTGATGTGTTTTATACTGGCAGCTCTCACTTAGTAATAAAGAATAAAGCTTTTGGAAAATCTGGAAGAGGTTAGCACAAGTATACAAACAAAATCAGCATTTTTTATGATTGTTGGTAGTTCTGGGCATCATGGGTTTAATTATCTTCATATGAAGATTTACTTGTTGAATGTAAATTTGTCTTATCACATGACTTTAATCCAAAAGCCGAATAGAGAAAATATAGAAATATAAAAGCTATTAGTTAGTAAATACTGACTGTTTAATGTGTGCAGTTACATTGATCTGAGCATCATCCACCTCTAGGTACATACATAGAATTTATATTCTACAACCATCTTAAAAATGTTAATAATTCTTCTCAAATATAAAGATTCTTTTGAGATAAGTACTTAATATAGTCATGAAAAACATCACTTACAGGAATGCTTTTAAGAAAAACAACTGAGATTTATAGATATTTGGAAAAATAAACTGGTTGACAGCGACAACAAAGTTCATATTTTAAAATTGCGGGATGTGGGGCTGGAGAGATGGCTCAGCAGTTAAGAACACTGAATGTTCTTGCAGAAGACCCGGGTTCATATCCCAGCACCCACATAGCAGCTAACAACTGTCTGTAACTCCAGTTCCAGGGGATTTGACACCCTCTCTGACCTCTGCAGGCACTACATGACATGGGTGCACTTTCACACATACAGGCAATACACACATACACATGAAATAAAAATAATAAATTAAATATTTTTAAAAATTGCTGATTGTTAGACTTACCATTTGATAAGTAATTGTGAAAAAATTAAACATTCCATCTCATTTTCTTTTGAATAAAATAGTGATAGGGACACAACTGATTAATGTAAGAGTGAAAAATCTAAATGTATTAACTTATTTAAAATAATTTAATTTTAATTAAATATTGCTTAAGCCAAGGATCATAAACGAGTTTTTATATGAAGATTTGAATGCTAAGTCACAGTCAGATTTTTCAAAGCTGGAAATAAAAGCAGAAATTAAACTGGAAAGAATTAAGTGAACTCTTACCTGAAGCCCCTTTTTGTTCTCTTCTCTTCTCCAGTCTCCCTGAAATGAGAAATAAGTTGCAGTGAGGAGGCATGAGAACATGACGTAACTAGGACAAAAACCCAGTTCACGGCAGTTTCCAGATACAACCATTCTTTCAGCTATGCCCAGCATGATTTTAGAAATGACTGTTCATAGTTGACAAGGATAAAAAAATACTTCCAAATCAATTTATAAAAATAAAAGTGTAAGTATGTAGTAATTGTTATGTTTAAAAATCTTTACAATCTTGTTAATAAGAAGGCAGTTTGATAACATGACTATTTAACAAAATAGTGATAATAGGTTCCACCGAGGGCCTATGGCTTCCCAGTCACAGATTCTTGACCAGGTTTCAGTATCAGGCATGATTTCCCTCCCGTGAAGCTTGCCTCAAACCAAATCAGAAAACGGTTGGCCACCCCATAATAGTCATGGTACCAGTGGGTACATCTTGCCTGCAGGCAGAGTCCAGCACTGGGTAAGACTATTGATGAAAAGAGTTGCTTCTTTCTCCAACAGTAAACAAAAAAGTAAAAATCCTCATGGAAAGCACTACAAGTAAACAGCTGAATCAGTTGAGACCATGAGCTCTTACAACTTTGAACAACAGGAAGGGCAGGCTATCTAGCATGAAGGGAGGTGCACACCTAGATGTGCAGAATTTTGAGTGATAAAAAGAATGAAGCAGTTATACCAAGAAAAGTGGGGGGTGCCACTGAAGTTGTGGAGACAGTGATGCTTGAGATTTGAGACTTCAGATATACTTGGGATTTAAGCCATCTGAAAAAGGTAAAGGACCAAAAGGGAACAGGGAGATCCAAATGGACAATGGTGATTGATCAAGAAGACATGTTTAGGGCATGCGTTAGGAACTCGACTAGCGGTGTATAGGAAGAGAATTGCCTTAGGATTTACCCAGTAGGTAATGAAAGGGTGCACTGGACTGTGATTAGTGGGGATAAAAAAGTAGGGAACCTGCACCTGCCAGAGACAGTGGGGTGACAGAATAGGGCCCAAGGATTTACAAAATGTGAGCTGCAAAAGAGGAGAGATCAAGGTTACCTACATGACTTTGGGCATATGGTGACGTTCTTTGGGGGCAGAGATAAGTCAGGATAAGGTACGGTAATGAGGAACCATGTTTACACTTACTGAGTTTGAAGTGTTTTGGGGGCATACAGCTTGGGAGACACCAAAGTTGAGTTTGTAGATGCAAGAAGGGTCCATCTTGCATAGACAACTGAATAGAAGTGTTGAGTGGGATGTAGAGGCAGATGGCATAGAGAATAGGCTGACAAAGAACAAAAACCACCTCTGAGTGATGATGTAAGAGTGTGGGAAGGTAGAAGAAGCAGTGATCCCAGGAGAACCCTGGGAGAGCTGAGCTGAGAACTAATAATGTTTCAGGAGATTTGGGTGAAAGTTCCAAAAGCATTGACTGTGTTGTCAAGTTCAATCATGTTTGCTCAGCTGCTATATGTGAGGGGGTGAGGGAACACAAGAGGTATTGTGAAGGCTGGAAGGGTAAATAGATGATGCGGATGATGAGATTAAGGATTTGGTTTCTCACTCATAAAATGTGGCAGCATCCAAATGCGTGAGATGGGGCAATAGCTCAAGTTGAAACAAGTCAAGGCTGATGCTAATCTAAGAGCACTCCAACATACTACAAGGCTCAGGAAAGTTTCTTTGCCCCAGGAAAGTGATGTGCAAGGACAACACTTGGGGTGAGAGCACTGTCTTTAGAGCCATTTTTCCACGTGTCACTTTCCAATTTTCTACCAACATTTCATCCCTGTAGCACTCCTGAGCAGTTATATGGCACATCAAAGCTACATGTAACCTTTACCCAATTGTTTCTTCTAATGCTTTATGTCTTTAAAAAATCCTAAAATACAAGGAAAATGTGTAGTTTTCCTTCATATGAGTTGCCCAAATGAGAGAATTCTTGTAATTGGCACCTTGATTAATTCTTCTCATTTGGGCTATTTCCAGAAGATATGTTGGTAGCAATTTATTTCAATGATTCAGGCAGATGAATGGCATGAACAGTCCATTTAAAAGCTCCATTCATTACCAAGTGGAACAGGGTGCCTCTTCTTCTAAGATTGCTCCAGGACAACCTATTGTTTACTGTTTGGCTATATACTTAGGATTGCAAGATTTTCATAAACTTTAAAAATAGTGTGCAAAGCTTGACTTAACAAAATATTTACAGAGAAGCAACTCTTTGGGAAGTCTCTAACTTCTCTTTAAATGAAGTTTAATAAATCCCAAATTGATAGTCAACGTGTGTAAAGCATGCAGTGTGCCATCACACTGCTCTCGGCGGCCCACATCTTTCCTCCTCTCAGTACTTGTGTTCCTTTAGAGTCTCTTTCTCCATTGAATTAGATAGACTTATGTAAATAGGATTTTGCAGAAATGGTGTATTGTGAGTTCTAAATTTGGACTGAAAATACAGCAGCTCCCATCTTGCTTTTTCTTGGAACTCTTTCTCTCAGGTAAGCCAGACAACATGCATGAGAAGACCCACACAGACCTGTGGCATGGAACTGACATGGCCTATCAATATCTAAGGATGATCAGAAGCCTTTTGCAGCAACCAGCCACAACTGAGAAGTGTAAAAGCAATCCAGTCACCATCCTTGGTAAGGACTTCAAGTGTCTGTGGCTTTGGCTGACATCTTGGATGGAAGTGCTTCTCATAGGCTCTAGTTGGGACAGCTGTTTGGGAAGGTTATAGAACCTTTAAGAGGAAGACCCTTGCTGGAGGAAGTACATCACTTGGGAGGTGGGCTTTGATGTTTGAGAGCTTGGCTCCACTTCCTGTTCTCCCGCTTTGCTTCCTGTGTATGGCTGAAACGCGATCCATCAGCATCAGCCTCACACTCCTGCCATGGAGGACTGTATTCCTCTAGAACAGTAAGTCAAAATGAACCCTTTCTTCCCAAAGTTGCTTTGTGTCAGAGTATTTTATCACAGCAACAGAAATGTAACTAATACACAGAGCCATCCATTCAGTCATTTGGAAGTTCCCCATATACTATGTGAAATGGCAATAGTTTATTACTGTTTTGAGAGGGTAAGTCCTGGGAAAAGTATTACACATATGCTGAAAGCTTGCATTAGTTCATCCCTTTATACAATACACTACAGTGGTGCTAACCACAAGCAGAACTCTGTCTCCCTGGCTTTCTCTTCGTTAAAGTAAGGAATCAGAATTGATTTCTCTGGAATGTTGTAAGAATTAAATAATTAGAGATGGGGAGCCAGAAATACAGATAAGTGGATGAGATTTCTACAAAATACTGGGGTCTAACTTTTCATAAGGGAGCCCAGAAGGCACAGTAAGATATTTTACTGAGACCTTAAATAGTTCCTGGCTTCTGGTTGCAGTAAAGTGTTGGTGCTAACCTCAATGCCACTTAATACTTCTGTCCTGCTAGTAACTGTGTTATAGGAAACAAGTTAGATTTTATTTTTAGTTATATGCATACTAAACATCAAGTTAGAAAGGTAAAGTATATACATAAGACAAATTATGTTGATGAAGGGATGCAGAGACTGGGTGCTTACATGGAAACAACTGCGAAGTCTTTCTCTGTCTCTTTATCTTGCTCACCACAATTCTTATCTTTCATTCTCTCCACTTTCACTTTCAGAACAAGAAACTGGTCCGAGACCCACATGATCTAAAATCTATCTCCATTTTATGTCTAGTGGAAATCGCAGCCTGTGACTTCTATTGTGCCGTAATACAAGTTCCTAACGGAAATCATCCAATTTCTCTCCAAAGCTGTTTGGTCTTGGGGTAGCCTACTTGGGCATCTGAACATGAGCCTAGTACCCCGTGGCTCCATTTGCTCAGCCTCCGTACGTTTCCTCTGTAAGGTCTTCCAGGTCTGTCTTCTCTTCTCTCAGTGCCCCTACTCTCGTTCATGAACTTGACCTTCTTTCCTGGGATCTGCTGTGAAGATGTTTCTAACTGGCTTTACTGGTTTTCCTGTACTTGTCATCTGCTTAAGACTAATATTCATGGTCTTCAATATGATATATATGATTTCGAATGACTTGGCCACCATTTATCTTCTGCCTTCAGCCATCAAGTACTATCCATCAACCCATTTGTGAGAAATTGTACCTCCTCAAAAATTCCTACCTTATGTTCTTCCTGTGTGTTAGGATGCCTATCATATGGTTCCTGTCTGTCAAAGTCTCATTCATCCCTTAAAGCTTGGTGTAGATAAGAGTCCCTCTGTGAGGCCTCTTCTTCTGGGTCAGTCCTTCAGCTCTCCTACCCTGTCCTTCCCCTGCACTCCCTGTCCTAGTCAGCTTTAACTATCAACTTGAAGAAGCCTAGCATCATCTGAGAGGAGAAGCCTCAGTTGTGGGAGTTCCTAGATCAGTTGGCTTGTGGGCATGTCTGTGAGGAATTGTCTTCATTGATAATTGATGTAAGTGGGCCCAGACCCCTGTGGTCAGCACCATCCCTGGGTAACTTGTCCCAGGTTGTATAAGAAAGCCAGCTGAGGTACTGGAGAGATGGCTTAGTGGTTAAGAACACTGGCAGTCCTTGCAGAAGACCCAGGTTCAAATCCCGGTACCCATGTGGTGGCTAACAACCATCCAGAACTCCAGTTACAGGGTTAGATGCCCTCTTTTGACCTCTGCAGGCATTACACATCACAGGTGCACTTACATACACACAGGCAATACACTCACACACATAAAATAAAAATAATAAAATGTTTTTAAAAAGAAAGCTAGCTGAGACAGCTGGAGAGTGAGCCAGCAAGTAGCATTCCTCGGTGGCTTCTGCTTCATGTTCCTGTCCTGCCTGAACTTCTGCCCAGACTTTCCTCAATGATGGACTGTGACCTAGAAACTTAAGACGAACAAACACCTTCTTAAGTTGCTTTTGGTTATGGTTGTCACAGCAACAGAATGAAACTAGAACCCTTTATTTACACCATTGTCATAGCACTAATTCCAGTGTGTGGCTCCTGCTCAGATGCAGTGAGTCCTGTCTTTGTCTCTGTTGCCTTCTACCAAGCCTTAAACACCAATGCTTGGGATGGAGCCAGAATCTCAAGAGCACTATTGTGCTCCAACCGATCCTGAAACACTAGAGAACATGAAGCAAATTTTAGTACTGCTAAAATGTAGTGAACACACAATCAGAACAGAGCTTTTAGCAAGCATTTATATTACAACTGACAATCTAGAAAACTATTATATTAGAAAAGTGGGTGATAAAACAGCAAAGAGGCTTTCAGAGTAATGAACGCACATGCTGCCCTAGTTCTGCTCTGTTTTATCGCAGGTTCTGGTTTAAAAGCCTTGAAGTATGCTTTGCATCTTATTTCTGTGTAAACAGAGATGTAGCTCTTTACCTGTGAGTTACAAAAATGGACCATCATCTCATAAAAAATTGAATTTGTAGGGTAAATCCTTTTCTTGTATGAGAAAATGTACTTAATTGAACACTAAAATTTCAAATTTTATGTAAACTGATGCTTGATTTTTTTAAAAGCTATTTTGTTGATATTGTTCCACGGAGAAACATTAAATATATATCAATCTATAGCACATCGAAGTGCTTCAGTATAGAAGTAGTCTCAGTCAAAGCTGATTGTTTCTGATCTTTTAAAACCACAGGCACATAAATGGACCGTTCAGAATGTCCCACCCTAATAAAGGTGCATTGGTGTCACAACTCAGTAAGTCTTCTAACTTGTAAGAAAAGGAAATGATTTACATGTGTGTTTGTGGATTGCATGCATGCATACACAAGTGCTCATTATGTATATACATGCATATATATATGCATACGTATGGCTTACAGTGTGCCCATATACACCACACTTAAATGCTCAGTCTCCCCTCGAAACTACGTTCTTTCTGCTACCTGCTTCTATCTGTGTATAAGAAAGTTTGTCATGAAATCTTATCAGCCTTCCCTCACTGCACTACCAATTTCTCAGTAGCCAATTCTGCGTTTGCGTTTACTCTCAGGCATTTTATCTGCCCTGTTCTGAAAGGTATTATTAATCACATCCTGTTGCTAGGAAACCTGAGAATGTTCATTTATGTCCGATGTTTCTTTGGCAAAATGCACTATGAAGAAGGCATAGACTCACAAGGAAAATTACTGTGTACATGCTACTTATTTTAAAAAAATGTGTGTGTGTGTGTGTGTGTGTGTGTGTGTGTTGGGGGAGGTGATAACCTCCAGATAATAAAATGCTAATTCCTGGGAGCTCATAATGTCATTTGTGTTTCACCAAGATTATAATGGGAAAATGTTGGCAATATTTTTGTAGGATTTATAGTTACTTACATACTTCTGAGTTTTGGAAAAGTGGAAGGAGATGGGATTTTAATTCCATTTATTTGATAGGGATTTGAGGAGAGGAAGGAGATGAGATTTATTTTCTTCAGATGCCTGAATTCATGGACAAAGGGACAGTTACAATGCTAGCTGATTTACAAATCTAAAGCCCTGGTCACCACTGTTGCCCTGACATTTTTAGTGCTGTATTTATGAGAAAAGTCATCCGCAGAGTGTGTATCTGGGTGACCAGAGTTAAAACTATTTCTGTCAATATTTTTAAGTGATTTCAAAATTATTTGTGTTGATTGTCAGTATACCAAGATTTTCTGCTTACAGGGTACAGTAAGAGAGAATATGAATCTGTAAAATCCCCACAAATGCAAGATTTTCTTAGTCTCTTCCCACAGGAAACAGCATAACCTCTCGGAGGGAAAATGAGCTTTGGAGCTGGATGGAATGACTTCTGTCTTAACCATGGGTCCCTGGTAGTTCTCTGATGCTGGGCGGAAAGCATGGGATCTTCTCGTTACACATTCTTCATTCTTCTCTTCATAATGCCTGACTGTGTGCATGCTTTGGTGTGTGCATATATGTACATGTATGTATACATGCATATATACCTACTCTTTATCTAACATCTACTCATCATCCATCTTCTTCCCTCTCATACTTCCTCTCCTCTCCCTCATCTCCTTATATCTCACCTGGGAGCAAGGCTGGGGCTCTATCTCAGTGGGGAGATTGCTTTCCTATATGCATGAAGCCCTGAGTTTCATACTCAGCACTGCATAAACTGGGTGTGGTGGCTCATGCCTATAACACCAGGACTCAGGAGGTAGAAGCAAGAGGATCAGAAGTACAAGGTCTTCTTTGGTTACATAGGAGTTTGAGGCCAGCCTGGGATACTTGAGACAAGGTCTCAAAACAAAACAAAAATCAATTGATTTTTGGATTCAATTCATTTTAGGAATCAATTCATTCCTATTCCTAAGTGATATTAATAAAGTATTATTATCGCATTAACAAAGTAGCTAATGCTTGTAAATCAATTACTATGTGCTTGAATTGTTATCAGCTCATTATATGGATCCATTCATGTTGTCCTCAGAAGGCTTACAGACATAACTATTTTCAGGTTAAAAATAAAAGACTATATTAGAAAGAGTTTTAACTTTGCAAACCACCATACTACTAAATCACACATAAATGAGAGAGAGAAAAATACAGTTGGGTTAAGAAAGTTGGAAGAAGTAAGTTTGGAATATCCACAAACCATATATAATTGGGCCCTAGGATTTAAGAATTGCCTGAATG